TTAACAACCACTCTTCAGCAAGTTTCAGGGCTTCCATCTTGGCCTGGTGCCACTCCCTTGCCCTCCTGCTGTGCAGCTTCCAGCTTCTTGAACAAAGGAGCTGCTGGATCCTGCAGCTCTCTAACATGCTTCTGATCATTTAAGCTCATCTAATAAACCCCTTTCTCAGGGGTGAATATGGAGTTCACCCACTGGGCTTTTCTCCTGTAGATCCTGAGGTCCTTAAGGCTCTGGTTGCTCTCCAATGCCTTCCAACGGATTTTTTATTTTATTTTGCCAATTTTTTTCAGCCTTTATTCTCTTTCCTTCCTTCATCCTCCTTGGCACCTCAGTAGGAAAGTTGATCTGATACAAACCACTCTGTCGGAGCCACAGTGTCAAGCCCATTATTTCCTTCACAAAAGTACAGAAGCTGAGGACCTTAGAATGAAGAAATTCATCATTGCCTCTGTAATTCTCCAGATGCCTGAATCATTTCCCAAGTACCCATTTTTGCTCAGGAAGTTATTTTGATTGCTTCATTTGAACTTGAACAAGGGGAACAAAAACTGTAGACAACACTTGTGAGCTCCTGAGTGATGGGAGAGAGGCTCTGCTTATCCCACTGTGTGGGGAGTGAAGGATTAGTCCAGCATCCTCAGGTAGCTGGCTCTGCGTATCACCTTCAGCACATGGGACTACTGATTTGTACATCTTTCAACTGCCATTTCCGGCAGCAGGGATAGTTCCTTTGAATTCATAAGTAAAAGTATAGGATCCCTGTGCCGGAAATGCTCCAGAAAATTGTATTCACAACTGATGAAGAAACTGAGAATCACCAAGAGAGAAAAAGTACAGAATAGAGCTGTGGTTCAGTCTGCATTGAGAATCATTGCATGGGGTTCTCATGCATAGTATCTTTCTTCAGATCCCTACAACATCCCTAGGAGCAGCTGGTTAATAATGTTCAGAAAGGTTCAATTTTTTATTCCAGTTTTTCAGATAATGATAAAATGTTTGTGGAATGGGAGAACATCTTTTTATTTATACTCCAGTGCAAGTTTAGATGCAATATTAATTAATGCACCCTGACCATGGGATAGGGCACTCAAAAACCTCTTCCATACCACAATTGAGGATACAGAAAACAAAATGTATGAGAGTAACAAAGCTGCTAGTTAAAAGCAAATTTAAGAAGCTCCTCAAGGTGCATAGTCATCAATAAAGAACTGAATACCAAAGAATACTTTGGAACAACTCTCTCCTAAGGTACAAGCATTATTAGAATGCTACACCCAAGTCCTGCATGTAGATCTGGGTGTTTTCTTAAAGAAAGATACCCAAAACAGTATAATATAAATCTGATACCACATATTATCTAAAATTTTTCTCTTATACTTTATGTATTTAAAGGGGAATTATTCCCACTTGACCTAAACCAGGGCTGTGTCTGTAACATAACTCATTAAAACAACAGAAATTTTTTTAAAATATCAAAAATTATAGGCGAATTTATGTTTCCAAAATACGTTCACAAATGTCAAATGGTCAAAGGATTTATTACATCATATTCCTTAGAATTTGGCCTTTGAACAGGAAAGAATGGGAAAATTTTTTACAAAGCATAAAAATGATTTTGCCAATTTCAGATGACAACCATAAGTCTTATATTATTTGTTTATAAAGTTGCATAAGGACCTTTGAATTTTCCACCTTTGCTTTAAGTGTAGAGCGAGATCCTGGTAGAGTGTGCATCTGAGGGAGTCTGGAGGAAGCTGTACAGGAGGCAGGAAAAGGATATCACTTCCTGTGACAAACAAACCACCAACCCCAGGGCAACCTGGCCACAGTTGACTCTGCAGTCCCCCTACACTAATCCGGCCACCTTGACTTCTAGAGGAGAGAGCTGCCTTGCAACCTCCATTTCCCCTCAACTTTCCCTTAAGATATAAGGCTCCAAATCCTACATTTGTTGACATTGAAGTCCTTCCTGGAGTCAACTATACCTCAAAGGTCTAAGGCCATCACAACTCTTCCAAATGAATGCCAAAGAAATGCAATTTAGCAGAAAAAAAAATACCAAAGATTTTTAGCACCCTGTCCAGAGAAATCCAAGTCGTCTAACACATTACCTAATTTATCAAAACACATGCTATTAGGGAGGAAAAGATTTTCCAAGGGAGAAAAAAAATGCAAAAATATTCTTCCAAACACATGAAATATTTATGTAAATTTAAAACTATTGCATTTTCTATCATTTATCCTTTAAATATTAAATGTTATTAAACTTAGAGGAATAAATGAGAAAAAGATTCTAGACCTGTACTTACCATTTTTAGACAACCTTTTTCTTTTCTTTTTTTTTTTTCTTCTGTTCTATGTCTTATTGTAGCCTAACATTTCCTACATGGAGTCAATATTATTTTGAAATTGCCATCCGTTGGAGATGTGTCCTATGTTTAGCCTTTCTTGCCAGCTCTTCCTGTGTAAAGATGAGCTCCTCTTGAATTGTCACACACTTGGGAGAGTGGAAGCCAGCAGGGCTGGCACAGGGAGAAGCTCCAGGATGCTTCCCTCCTAGCAGAGGCAGGGTAGCTCTGATGGCTCTCTACAGCTGGGTGCTCCAAAGGGCACAGTCTCAATGACACTTGCATTACCAGTCTTTAGGGAAGGGCTGTCCCCAGGAAAGTCCATGACCTTGAGCCAGGCTGTTCCTTTCAACCTAGGACAAGTCCCAGAGAGAGACTCCCAGAGCTGAGAGATGAGTGCTGTTTTTCTGGGCGGTGCTCGCTCTAGCAACTTCTGCTTCCCTCCAGTGAGCCACAGGTACCTTGTCTGCATCTCAGGGTCTGCTTCTGAGGGAGCCCTGGCTGAGAGAGCTCTATTGTAAAAGAAGGACTCCGCCAATGCCTGCCTTTTATCTCCCAAGGAGCAGCACGGGGCAGCAACTTGGTGCGGAGAAAGCACGGGACACCTGCAGTCAACAGAGCAGGGCCTAAGCCTCTCCCCAGCTGGAAGAGTGCTTGGACTAGAGAGCTCCTAATCTTCCCAAGTATTATTTTTCTTATCTTTCAAACTAAGAATAATGATAATTCATATCAGTCTATGGCATAGGTGAAATAAACTGTCAAATGAGATAAAAATTTGCAGAGCTTTTTGCATTACAAAGTGCTTACACATGATTTAAACATGAAAAGCCATTTTACCAAATTCTAGGAAACAAATTTTAAAATAACTGTGTTAGATGAGTGCCTGTGATAATTTCTGTTTCCAGCCTGCAAAATAGAGGCGTAGAAAGGGCTTTAACGTCTTTGGAGAAAAGTTAGAAGTAGAAGGCTCTGTAAGAATCAAAATAAGAGAAGTTACATTTGAATCTTTAGCTCTACAGCTTTAAAGCTGACCTTTACAAAAATCAGATATTAACCTCTAATATCTAAATTTCTTCATTTTAAGGGGAAAAAATAATTAGTTTTGTTATATAAGATTTCCTTTGTCTTGCATGTAAGAAACATTGAAATTTTAATTATTCCTTCATCAGCTATATATTGAGCACCAATTTTATGCCAGTCTTTGTTCTGGATACCATTAACTGTTTTGTCTTTGTTACACTGTTATTGTTATGGTTATTTTTATCATCTTTATTACTATGCTACCAGTGTTCAGAGAGAGGAAAGAAACATTTCAAGTCTGCTCATGTACTTGCTCTTCTATTTAAATCTTTGGGGCTATAGTTACTTATTTTCTGCAAGAAGTTCTTAAATTTTATTCTAGCTGAACCACAACATTTCATGTAATCAGGCAAAGTATCTGGCTTGCACCATTCAATAATAATTCATTAAAACAGGAAAATGCTACATTTATCTTCTTTTGTTTTTGTTTTGTTGTTGTTGTGTGTTTTTATTACAACTCTGGTAGTAAACAACAGAGGTTGTATGAGCAGGTTTAGGGCCTAAAGTTCAGTAATTTGGTTTGAAATCTTCTGCGTGACCTTGAAGAGGTTGTTTGACTCATTTGTGCTTACATTTATTCATGTGCAAAATGGGAAAGAAAACTGGTAAATCCTTTCTAAATTAGCTGTAGGAGTGAATGAGTTACTAGTACAGTGAGATCAGAACATAGTCCAATTCACCATCAGCTCTCAACAAATGTTTCCTCTTCTTACTATCAGTACCGGAAGCTAATAGAAGGTGGCTTCTCATTTACCACACATGTGATGGTGTTATTTCAAGTTTACTGCATCAGAATTCCACTGAGTCCCACTAAAATTACTCTCACCTCACATTCCCAATCATTTTCCCCAGTTCACAATTAGTGAAGAGTTAAGACTTCCTCTCTTCACCGCACTGCAAATAACACATTACTGTGCCGTGGCAGTGTGTGAAGATATTGTTTGCACAGTAGCCAGCAAACACATGTATTCAATAATCTGATACTTTCCTTATAAATAAAACAGCCTTTCCGAAGACACAGACTAGAAATGACGGACTTTTAATTATAGACCTACTTTTAGGGGTGTGCTTGTTGAAATGAGGATAAAGATTTTAAAAAACAGAAACTGAAGAAGGTCTTATTAAAACTTCCTAGTGGACTATCACAGGTATTCCAACAGTGTTCTATCTCTATCTTTTAGGCTTGTTTCCATCTTTGCTTTTGTAAACACTACATCTCTATTGCTGTGTTGATAAATACATGTTTGCACTGTTTTTTTTACAATTGCCTTGTCTTTACTTAATCATTCTGCATTTGCTTTTATCAATCTCAGAACTTACTATATTTGTGCTGCCTTAGTTTACCCCATTGTAGTAATTGCACACTGTTGCAACTGTTGATTTAGTATCTCCACCTCCTTCTTATTATTATGTGCATACATTTAGTCTCATTAAATACCAATAAGCTATTAATGACCCAAACTTTTGTCAAGCTCATATGATATGCCAAGCATTGTAAGAACAACTTTACATGCTTTTTATTATTTATAAAATGCTCTGAGGTCAGAATTATTATCTCCCATTTCTCAACAGGAACACTGATGTGCAGAGAATTGATGTGACTTACTCATATAGCAGGTAAGTGCCAAGAGCACTTTCAAATCAAATCAAATCTTCAAACAAAGCTTAGCATTGTGTGGCCTTCTTTCTAGGTTTCAGCATTTTATTGAAAGTAAACACCTCTCAAGTTGTATCAGATCCTCTTTTGATAGTCTGTTTTTGTATTTTGTATTTTTTCATAGTACTCACCATAATTGGAAGATTATCTAGACCCCCATAACAATATAAATACCAGTGATAAAGGTTCTTTGGGTATTTTACTTATCCTTGCTTTTTGAGTACATAGTACACTGCCTGGCATTGAGGGGCACACAAGAAACATGTACTTTATGAATACATGTATTAATGATAATTTTATAGAGGTTCCTCAGTATTGACATCTGGGCTGGGGATTTAGCTCAGTGGCACTGTGCCTGCCTTGCAAGTACAAGGTCCTGAGTTTGATCCCTTTTACAAAAAAAAAAAAAAAAAAAAAATACTGACGTCTAAAGAGGTCAAACTGCTGTCTTTCTGCTTTGTATTTAAAACAGCAGCCACATCTATGGTGGTAGGCACATATTAACAAAATAAGGAGAGTCCATCAGAGGCCAGGATTCTCTACTTTCAAATCAAACAACACCTTCTATTCTGAAATATTATGGACTCCCAGAAAATTGCAAAGAAGAGTACATCTATATATGTACTCCAGAGTGTATTTTTTCATAATACATATCATATAGTCATTGTGTTAGTTAACTTTCCATTACTGTGACAAAGTGTCTCAGATAATCATCTTCAAAGGAGGAAAGGTTTACTTTGGCCCATGGCTTCAGAGGTTTTTACCCATCATCACCTGGTCCTGCTGTCTTGAGCTTGTGCCACCAGAGGAGGGCAGAAGAGGGACTCACCTCATGGTTGCTGGGAACTAAACAGAAAGATCAGAAGAGGCTGGGGTCAGAAAAGCCCCTACAAAAGCACACCTCCAGTAATCTAACTTCCTTCCACTAAGCCCAATCTACTAAAGGTCCCACCACCTCCCAATATATCCATGGCAATTAATGGTTATGATAGAACAACTGGTACCAGACTCATCTTTCTGCCAGTCTGCCAGAGAAAGATGGAGAACCCAAGGAGAAGATGCTCATCATACTGAGTTGAAGACCCAGAGATTAGAGGGGGGACGAGAGATTAAGGTTGCTGGAAGTTATGGAGCAAATTGTAAGGGAGGAGGATCAGCAAGGACAATTTCCAAGTATCTGGTAAATGAGCCTCTGAGTCTCTCCTACACAATAAATTGCGGTATACACATTGGGAATCCACAGAGCTAGACAGAATATTCTAAGGGAAACTATTACTAAACTCCACACTAGGAAATAGTGAAATTCTGAAAAATCAGAGTTGAGAGATCCTATGAAACGCCTCAAAAATTCTTGAGATCCTGCAGGACATGCCTTAAAAGTAAGGCAAAATTTCATTGCACTAGTATAGACTAATCGCGACAATATTTAAAACCAAGCCTTAGCAGGATGAAGAAGAACTACAAGTTATAGAATTGCTACCCACAGCAAAATTCACTGTCTTTAAAAAAAAAAAAACAAAGTACAGACACTCAAAAGTGTAATATTCTCAATGATAAGCTTCTAAAAAATTATTAGGCATATGAAGAAGCAGCAGGAAAAATCCATGAGGTGAAGAAAAATCAATAGAAACAAACTCAAAAATGTCAGAATGATTGAATAAACTGAGAAGAACTTTGAAAAAGTAGCTATAAATATGTTCATGGATTTACTAACATAATGACCAAAGAAAAGATAGGAGCCAGAACCAGAAGAAATTTCTAGAGTTAAAAAATAACAAATTTGAAATAAAACAGTTACTACCGAAGCATAACAGGATCTAAGAAAGTGCAAGAGAAATGATTAGTAAACTTAGTATGGCGGTGACAAACAACCACACTGAACCACACAAAACACTGAAAGAAGTGGACACAGCCTTGGGACACTAAGCAAAGGCTCAGTGGAACAAAACCGAGAAGTATGACACATGTGTAATTGGATGTCCAGAGGGAGAAAAATATTTAAAGTATAATAGCCAAAATGTTTAAAATTTGATACACATTATAAAGCCATAGATAAAAGAAGTGAAACCAAAGCGAGAATGTCACACACAGAAAAAATCACACCAATGAACATCATAATCAAATCACGGGAAGTTATTCATAAAGACTGAAGTATAAAATCAATCCTAGGAAAAAAGAATTGCTAAATATGGGAAAGACAAAGTACTGAGTGAACAGACAAACTCAGATTGGGAAAAAATAATTTCCAGGTAGTCCTCAGACAAAGGACTAATATCTAGAATATTAGTCTATATCTAATATCTAGTAAAAAAGTAGAAGCCTCGAAATAAAAGAATGAAAATATGACAAGTGAAATGAATAGACGCTTTCACAGACTAAATACAAATGGCCAATAACTAAAGGAACTTTGCTGAAAACCACCCATGGGAAACATATAGCTGCCCTATGTAATGCTGAAAATCTGAACCTTTTGTCCCTAAGATTAGGAACAAGGCAATTGTTCCTTCTTGTACTATTTCCACTGGACATAGTACTGGAAGATCTAACAATCAATAGAATAATAATTACAATAAGCAAATTGAAATGATAGAGGTAAAACGGTGGGAAGACGTCATGGTCACAAATGTAAAGAATTAAACCATTAAAAGATGCTAGAATTAAAAACTAAATTAGATCTCAGAGGCAAAATTATTATATAGACATCAATTATTTTTCTATTTCCTACAGCAGTTAAGGAATTTAAAGAGCACTGTCCTTTACAATACCTTGAAAATGCCTAAAATATGTAAGAAACAATAATATTACATGCAAGACAAGTGATAACAATAAAATTTTGCTCAGAGAAATTAAATATTAAATTAATGAATAATATGTCACATTCATAGATAGGAAAATTTAAAATTGCTAAGATGTTCGTTTGTTCTAAATCCATCTATAGATTCAGCATGTCACCATTCAAAATCTGGAGAATATATTCTGTAAAACATTGAAAAAATACTAAGAACTAAAAGAGACAAGCTGATTTTTAAAAATTAGAAAAGTTTACTCAACTTTTGAGCACATTCTAAAGACATAATATAGAGCCATAATAATCAAGACATCATGGTGTTAGCAGAAAGGCAGACTTATAAGACAATAAAACAGAACTGAGGCTGAATAGAGGCTCATAAATGCATGATAAGATCAATTTTGACACTTTGTCACATGTACCAAGGGAATCAGTGGGAATCGGTGGTGTTTTACACAAATAGTGTTGGAAATCCTATATTTACATATAATTTATTTTGGGTTTACTTCCATTTCTTACTTTGTTGGATAAGACACACAGTTAATGTTTTTCCCATTACTGTTTAATAGAAATGTTTTCTGATACAAAGTTCTCTTTAAAATATATATATACTGGGCTGGGGATTTCGCTCAGTGGTTCTGCCACCTGCCTCGCAAGCAAAAGGTCCCAAGTTTGATCCCCGGTACAAAAAAAAAAAATGCTGTATTAACATTATCAAGTGTTTAAATGGTATTTACATTATCAAGTGTTGAAAAATAATCACTACTGAACTGAAAATTGAGTTGCTTTTGCACATGTCACGTAACCATAGTAAGTAACCCCAGTGAAACCAAAAGTACCTTTGGGTTTTTATTTCTCTACTACTAAATTGTACAAAAACTATTCCAGTTAATATTGGTGATGACAGTTTGGTAAGTTTAATTATAGCACAATAAAATGCAAAACTCAAATATTAGATTCACATAGAGAAAATATTTACCAAAGACTTGTCTGAAAACATATCTTGGTCTACCTTTCATTTGAACATCTCTTAAATAGCCACAGATTCTTAAACTGAAAGTAAAGGGAGATAATCCATACTCATTTAGATGAAGGAGAAAGCAATACAAACGTTTTGGTTGTGATTCTACGAGTCCAAATAATGTATTCGAAGGTTGAATGAGTCTTTCATAAAATTGCTTATATTTTCAGAATCTAGGGATAGCAGAGAGTCAGACTGTGGGGGACAGGAAGTCTCCTCACCATTTTCTGTCCTTACATCCACTGATAAGCAGGATTCTCAGCAGGAATAAGGCGATCACAGACTGGCAATACAGGGGAAAGCCAGAAAAAAAGGGGAGAAAAGCCCTGGTTTCAGTTAATGTTCACCATAGGGGCTCCAGACTTTCTGTTTGTAAAACCTGGTTGGATGATAGCACAAGGACCCGAGTTCAATCCCTGGCACCGAAAAAAAAAAAAAAACAAACCTGGTTGGATGGGATGATTCTAGGCAACCTTACTGAAACTGCATCATTCTTGAAATTTAAGCAATTCGCTCATCTTTTTTGTCTTTCATCTCAGAAATTTGTTCCCCGAGTTCTAAGATGACCTTCTTCAGATTTTCACAGCTTTCTTCTTAGCTTTCTATTTCTGATGACTGCCTAGGTTATTTTCTAAAGATGGCTCAATTTCTTCTTAAGGTAGAGGGGTTTTTTTGGAGCAGTTTTAGGTTCGGAGCAAAACTGAGCAGCAGCTACAGAGAGCCCACATAGAAATTCAGACCTCAGACATACATCATCTCTTATGTTATCATTATTCCCAACCAAGCATTAGAAATAATGACACTGCACTGGCACGATGATCACCAGGAGTCCATCCTTTCAATTAGAGCTCAGTCTTGGTGTTACACATTCTAAGGGTATGAGCAAGTGCATAGCACACGGACCCACCATGACAGTGTCATACAGAATCATTTGTGACTTACACATTCCTCTGTGCTATGCTTACTTGTCTCTCCCTGCCCTCAACCTCTGGTATGCACTGATTTTTTCGCTATCTCCATAGTTTTGCCTTTTATACAATATGATTTTTGCAATCATACTGCATGTAGCTTTCTCATATGGGCTTCTTTCACTTAGTTATATGCATTTACATTTTCTCCATGTGCTTTCATGTCTTGAGAGTTTGTTTTTA